GTACAGTTGAAGTCGGAAATGTACATACACCTTAGCCAAATACATTTAAACTCAGTTTTTCACAATTCCTGACATTTAATCCTAGTAAACATTCCCTGTCTTAGGTCAGTTAGGATCACCACTATATTTTAAGAATGTGAAATGTCAGAATAATAGCAGAGAAAATGATTTATTTCAGCTTTTATTTCTTTCATCACATTCCCAGTGGGTCAGAAGTTTACATACACTCAATTAGTATTTGGTAGTATTGCCTTTAAATTGTTTAACTTGGGTCAAACATTTCGGGTAGCCTTCCACAAGCTTCCCACAATAAGTTGGGTGAATTTTGGCCCATTCCTCCTGACAAAGCTGGTGTAACTGAGTCAGGTTTGTAGGCCTCCTTGCTCGTACACGCTTTTTTAATTTTTTTTACATTTTAGTCATTTAGCAGACGCTCTTATCCAGAGCGACTTACAGGAGCAATTAGGGTTAAGTGCCTTGCTCAAGGGCACATCGACAGATTTTTCACCTAGTCGGCTCGGGGATTAGAACCAGCGACCTTTCGGTTACTGGCACAACGCCCTTAACCACTAAGCTACCTGCCGCCTTTTTCAGTTCTGCCCACAAATGTTCAATAGGATTGAGGTCAGGGCTTTGTGATGGCCACTCCAATACCTTGACTTTGTTGTCCTTAAGCCATTTTGCCACAACTTTGGAAGTATGCATGGGGTCATTGTCCATTTGGAAGACCCATTTGCGACCAAGCTTTAACTTCCTGACTGATGTCTTGAGATGTTGCTTCAATATATCCACATAATTTTCCTTCCTCATGATGCCATCTATTTTGTGAAGTGCACCAGTCCCTCCTGCAGCAAAGCACCCCCACAGCATGATGCTGCCACCCCGTGCTTCACGGTTGGGATGGTGTTCTTCGGCTTGCAAGCGCCCCCCTTTTTCCTCCAAACATAACAATGGTCATTATGGCCAAACAGAGGACATTTCTCCAAAAAGTACGATCTTTGTCCCCATGTGCAGTTGCAAACCGTACTCTGGCTTTTTTTATGGCGGTTTTGGAGCAGTGGCTTCTTCCTTGCTGAGCGGCATTTCAGGTTATGCCGATATAGGACTCGTTTTACTGTGGATATAGATACTTTTGTACCTGTTACCTCCAGCATCTTCACAAGGTCCTTTGCTGTTGTTCTGGAATTGATTTGCATCAAAGTACGTTCATCTCTAGGAGACAGAACGCGTCTCCTTCCTGAGTGGTATGACGGCTGCATGGTCCCATGGTGTTTATACTTGCGTACTATTGTTTGTACAGATGAACGTGGTACCTTCAGGCGTTTGGAAATTGCTCCTAAGGATGAACCAGACTTGTGGAGGTCTTTGCTGATTTCTTTTGATTTTCCCATGATGTCAAGCAAAGAGGTACTGAGTTTGAAGGTAGGCCTTGAAATACATCCACAGGTACACGTCCAATTGACTCAAATGATGTCAATTAGCTTATCGGAAGCTTCTAAAGCCATGACATCATTTTCTGGAATTTTCCAAGCTGTTTAAAGGCACAGTCAACTTAGTGTATGTAAACTTCTGACCCACTGGAATTGTGATACAGTGAATTATAAGTGAAATAATCTGTCTGTAAACAATTATTGGATAAATTACTTGTGTCATGCACAAAGTAGATGTCCTAACCGACTTACCAAAACTATAGTTTGTTAACAAGAAATGTGTGGAGTGGTTGAAAAACAAGTTTTAATGACTCCAACCTAAGTGTATGTAAACTTCCGACTTCAACTGTACAGTGGGGAAAAAAAGTATTTAGTCAGCCACCAATTGTGCAAGTTCTCCCACTTAAAAAGATGAGAGAGGCCTGTAATTTTCATGATAGGTACACGTCAACTATGACAGACAAAATGAGAAAAAAAAATCCAGAAAATCACATTGTAGGATTTTTAATGAATTTATTTGCAAATTATGGTGGAAAATAAGTATTTGGTCACCTACAAACAAGCAAGATTTCTGGCTCTCACAGACCTGTAACTTCTTCTTTAAGAGGCTCCTCTGTCCTCCACTCGTTACCTGTATTAATGGCACCTGTTTGAACTTGTTATCAGTATAAAAGACACCTGTCCACAACCTCAAACAGTCACACTCCAAACTCCACTATGGCCAAGACCAAAGAGCTGTCAAAGGACACCAGAAACAAAATTGTAGACCTGCACCAGGCTGGGAAGACTGAATCTGCAATAGGTAAGATTGCAGATTCAGTAGAGCACGGCGCTTGTAACGCCATGGTAGTGGGTTCGAACCCCGGGACCACCCATACACAAAAATGTATGCACGCATGACTGTAAGTCGCTTTGGATAAAAGCGTCTGCTAAATGGCATATTATTATTATTATTATGTAAGCAGCTTGGTTTGAAGAAATCAACTGTGGGAGCAATTATTAGGAAATGGAAGACATACAAGACCACTGATAATCTCCCTCGATCTGGTGCTCCACGCAAGATCTCACCCCGTGGGGTCAAAATGATCACAAGAATGGTGAGCAAAAATCCCAGAATCACACGGGGGGACCTAGTGAATGACCTGCAGAGAGCTGGGACCAAAGTAACAAAGCCTACCATCAGTAACACACTACACCGCCAGGGACTCAAATTCTGCAGTGCCAGACGTGTCCCCCTGCTTAAGCCAGTACATGTCCAGGCCCGTCTGAAGTTGGCTAGAGTGCATTTGGATGATCCAGAAGAGGATTGGGAGAATGTCATATGGTCAGATGAAACCAAAATAGAACTTTTTGGTAAAAACTCAACTCGTCGTGTTTGGAGGACAAAGAATGCTGAGTTGCATCCAAAGAACACCATACCTACTGTGAAGCATGGGGGTGGAAACATCATGCTTTGGGGCTGTTTTTCTGCAAAGGGACCAGGACGACTGATCCGTGTAAAGGAAAGAATGAATGGGGCCATGTATCGTGAGATTTTGAGTGAAAACCTCCTTCCATCAGCAAGGGCATTGAAGATGAAACGTGGCTGGGTCTTTCAGCATGACAATGATCCCAAACACACCACCCGGGCAACGAAGGAGTGGCTTCGTAAGAAGCATTTCAAGGTCCTGGAGTGGCCTAGCCAGTCTCCAGATCTCAACCCCATAGAAAATCTTTGGAGGGAGTTGAAAGTCCGTGTTGCCCAGCGACAGCCCCAAAACATCACTGCTCTAGAGGAGATCTGCATGGAGGAATGGGCCAAAATACCAGCAACAGTGTGTGAAAACCTTGTGAAGACTTACAGAAAACGTTTGACCTGTGTCATTGCCAACAAAGGGTATATAACAAAGTATTGAGAAACTTTTGTTATTGACCAAATACTTATTTTCCACCATAATTTGCAAATAAATTCATGAAAAATCCTACAATGTGATTTTCTGGATTCTTTTTTCTCATTTTGTCTGTCATAGTTGACGTGTACCTATGATGAAAATTACAGGCCTCTCTCATCTTTTTAAGTGGGAGAACTTGCACAATTGGTGGCTGACTAAATACTTTTTTTCCCCACTGTATGTATGGTAAGGTCTTGTAGGATGTATAAAAAGTTAGGTATGGTAAGGTCTGGTAGGATGTATAAAAAGTTAGGTATGGTAAGGTCTGGTAGGATGTATAAAAAGTTAGGTATGGTAAGGTCTGGTAGGATGTATAAAAAGTTAGGTATGGTAAGGTCTGGTAGGAGGTATAAAAAGTTAGGAATGGTAAGGTCTGGTAGGATGTATAAAAAGTTAGGTATGGTAAGGTCTGGTAGGAGGTATAAAAAGTTAGGTATGGTAAGGTCTGGTAGGAGGTATAAAAAGTTAGGTATGGTAAGGTCTGGTAGGAGGTATAAAAAAGTGAGATATGGTAAGGTCTGGTAGGAGGTATAAAAAAGTGAGATATGGTAAGGTGATAAGGTGATCAGGTAAGGAGATAAGGGTTTTCCAGGATGAAGACAAATGTTTAAAACACCACAGTAGTTACAATCAAATCTATTGTGTGACACACCACACACACGGAGTCCACACACACTTCAGTTGTACTTCAGACGGTGATAACAAGGGGATGTGGTCTTTGATATGATTGAATAAGGAGTTTAAGGCCACTGCAGATTTCATCATGGTCTTCACATCAGATGATTTACAAAGCCAATAATAACCGAACCGGACGCAGCGAGAAATTGCCGTCCACGTTTGATTCAATCAGAGTAGCAGGTCAATAATAGACTTTTCCATAGTGAACCTCCGACCCTGTTTTCAAAGCTCAGCTTTAACCACTCTCTAGCATGAAATGGAAAATATATTTCATGCAAAGCCGTGGATCGATGAGTGATTTGATGAACGCAGCAGCGAGCGGACGCCTCAAGGTCGTGTTGTTTCAGTACCCCCCCCCCCCCCCCATCCTCCTCCTCCTACTACTACATTTACTCTGATTGAATCAAACGTGGACGGCAATTTCTCGCTTCGTCCGGTTCGACTATTATTGGCTTTATAAAGCATCTGATGTAAAGACCGTAATGAAATCTGCAGTGGCCTGAATAAACTCCTTATTCAATCATATCAAAGACAACATCCCCTTGCTCTCACTGTATGAAGTATGACTGAAGTGTGTGTGTGTGTTTGACTATCTGTATGCTGTGTGCTTAAACGCCTGCAAAACTCAGACTGAAGTCAGCAGTTTCTCTGTCCTCGTTTCACCTAAAGGAAAAGTATGCCGCATCCCTCAATCAACCTCACAGCTCCCTCAGTACTTTCTCTAAACCAAGGCCTCAGCCTAGACCTCTACCCGTATTCATAAAACTTATCAGAGTAGGAATGCTGATCTAGGATCTGTTTTTGCCTTTTAGAGCACAATAATTAAGATTACATGGAAAGAGGGAGACCTGCTCCTAGATCAGCACTAGCATCTGAATGTGAACTGGCCCCTTATAGAAGTGATGGCAGCCAGGCGATACACACTCCCTGGAAGGTCCAGTATAGACAAAACATGACCACATGTTGATACTCTGAAACATCTTTATTTAAAAGGATTTACAACACAAACTGGCACCACTGTTTTAAGTTAAATGGCTTTCTTTTTCTTTCGGCACAACTTTCCTTTTTGTACATACGATGCACACACATAAAATGTGTCGCTCGGTCCCTTCAAAAATAAAATCAGTCACTAACATTAGCTCATAAAAAAAAGATAAGAAATAAAATTAAGTTACCTTTAAACCTGATCTAAGGTCAGTTGTTTCCCCCTCTAATGCTTCAGGATAAGATCTGGGGTTGGATAAACCGATCCTAGATCTGTACTAAAGGTTAAACTTCTACCTGGTGGTAACAACCAATGCAATCCTTCCACCACCGAGACCCGTCCCAATACAAACCCAAAATAAAAACGCTCACACCACCTGATAAAACCATATCAAAGCTTAGAAAAAAGAAATTACAATTTGAAACATGTCCACAAAAATGGACAAAGCTAAATCCTAAATCCCAAAACCCCTAGTTCCTCTCACACAAATCATTTCATAGAAGGTGTGCATGACTAGAGACTGAATAAAACAACACATCTTAAAACTATTATTCCGCCTGCGTTTTTGGGCTCAATGTCCTTGAGAGGGTATTGAGGATAACATGGAAAACTTCTAAATCCTCCTGAAATACTTTTAAGCCGTATTCGCTTTCTTTGGTTTTCCAAACCCTTTCATCTATGAAAGCCAAATAAATAATCCAACACAGAACGTGCTACAAGGGTAGCTGAGCAACGATTCCCAATTCTATTGAAATTAATTATAGAACAGATGTGCTGTCTGTGCTTTTCAGTACACGTCAACGTTTTTACTGCAAAATAACTTTGAACGAACTTTGCATCCATTTGAACATTGTAGCTCGTTTAAATTTCTCCAAGACCAAAATCCACTATTTAAACTATAAAGCTTTTATATTAGTTTCCACTATTGCCATTCCCAATAACGCTTTTTTTTGGGCAAACATAAAAAAGGCACACATATTTAAATGATTGTTTCTCTATACCAGCTTTTCAATGCCCAAATTACCCCAAAATTGTAGTTTTTCGTATTAAAATAAAGCCAGGGCCAAATCAAACAAACCATGACCTACAGTGAGTGTCCTGATCCAAATGTTTGGGAACCTCTGTTTTATGTATAGTCAGATGGCAGTCTAGTGAACATTGTGCTTGGGGTTGGTTAGGTAGGCCTATCTCGTGTATGAACCACGCTTATCCTGTTCTGTTAGACTGAGTCGAAACCTTGTGGAGTACACTATTCCTTTCCTGTCTAAATAATGCTGAATCTAATAACACATCTAAACCTTATGATTCCTACTATGCCAGGTCTGGTCTGGTAGATTTCATCTAAACCTTGTGAACTACACCATTTATTGTCTGTTAGATTGAATCTTGAGTCAGTTGTTATTAGACTGGATGACAAACCCTTAAGACATAGGTTAGATCTCCTCTGTGACTGAACTACACCATTTCTTTCCTGTCTAAATAATGATGAATCTAATAACGAATCGGTCTGTAATAAAACTAAACCTTGTTTGTTTCTACTACTACACCATGTCTGTTAGATTCTGTTAGATTGAATAAACCTTGTTTCTTTCTGCTATATTCCAGGAGCCGGTTCAGTCGGTTGGTTGTTAGTTGCCATAGAAGCCATATTGAGACATTCTAGAACTATTGTTCTAGAACTATTCTAGAATGGTGATCTAACTAGGATGGACATGTTATACTGTATCATTTAAGATTAATGCATGTTTCACATCTCTTCTTACTTTCCTTTGCTACATTAATGCCTTTCCACCCAATTGGAACAAGAATGATTAGAAAAGGGACCAGGAAAAGGAGGATAGCAGAGAGGATGTAGAGGAGGAGCAGAGAAGAGAGAGAAGAGGAGCTGGTGGGGGGGTTAGACAGTGGTGCCCACTCCTGCTGCGGCTGGGGTGTGTTGTTGTGATGATGTTGGTGATGCTGTGCTGTTCAGGGCTTTTCCTCTGTGTCTCTGACCCCCTCTCCTCCTGCCTCCACCTCCTGACTTGGGCTGGAAGAGAAGAATCAAAACAGAACAAACATGACTGAACGCTAAGCTAGGCACACAGTTTCTGACTACCTCGAACTTTTAGGGAATATTTGACTTTGGAATGTGAAAACAGACAAATTCTCATAGAAAATTCAATTTAGCTAGTTTTTTTTGTTCACGACATTAGCGCAGGCCTAAACGGCTACAAAAAAAAGTAAATAACATTTTTAGTACTTTTAGAACTCAAAGTAAGTTCAGGCCTGTACAGGAAAACACTCTTTAGTGTTGGGATAAATGAAGGTCTTTGCAGTACTTGGTCAGGACAAATGACACTGGTGTTTCTCTTTCTCCCTCATACTGTTTACCTGGTTCTCTTTGTTGCCGTCTTTACATAGCGTCTCCTCCTCCCCCACTGTCTGACGCAGACAGCCCACAAGACGGACGGAGGGAGAGCGAGTGTGAACGAGAAGGGTAACGAAAGAGTGACGGTGGGGGGAGTGTTAGGGAGGAGGAGACATGTTTAATGGACGGAGGTGGGGATGAAAGGAACGAGTGACGGGGTCCGACGATAATGGAGGAGAGGAGTGACCGAAAGAGGGATGATGAGGAGGAAAGAATATGTAAGTGGAATGAAATCGAGAGAGGAAGAGAGGGACATTGGCGGACGAGTGTGAGAGGGTCAAGGAAAGGCAGGACATTTTGAAAAGAGGAGAGGGGGATTGTGAAAAGACAAGGTGATGAACAACCATAAAAGCGAGGGATAAAAATGGAGTGAAACGGGATGATGGAGGGGCAGCGGAAGAGAGAGATTAGCCAGCAGATTGGAAAAGAGAAGAAAGCTGCTGGTACGACACACACACACACACACACACACACACACCATTCACTCAACACTAAAGACATTAAATGCAGCTAGGCAGAGAGTTTAACTTACCTCCTACTCCTCTAGCAAGTCATTATTTTACCTCTTACCCCAGGATGTTCTCTCTAACCCCCTCCCTTCTCTAGAAATATATTGCGTAGAACAGATATGATTGTCTGTCATGCAGAACTGGGAATCATGTCAGCTCTACTCATTACATCTCTGTACGTTCTGTCCAAGACCCTCCCTCTATCTAATTCCCTCCCTCCTCATGTCTAATGCTGCGTTCATAACCAAGTGGGAAGGAGTTCATTACCAGTTGTGAAGTCGTACATCCCAGTTGGATGCATTCACACGCTTTGAACGCGTTGAGAAAAGATGATTGGCTAATTGCTAACAAAATAATACGCTGCTGCTACTCTGTTAATTATTTATGCGTAGTCACTTTAACTCTACCCACATGTACATATTACTTCAACTACCTCAACTAGCCGGTGCCCCCGCACATTGACTCTGTACCGGTACCCCCCTGTATTTATATAGCCTCCCTACTGTTATTTTATTTTACTTCTGCTCTTTTTTCCTCAACACTTTTTTGTTGTTTTATTTTACATTTTTTAAATAAAAAAATAAATGCACTGTTGGTTAAGGGCTGTAAGTAAGCATTTCACTGTAATGTCTGCACCTGTTGTATTCGGCGCATGTGGCCAATAAAATTTGATTTGAAAAGTAAAGCTATCATGCTTGTAAACCAATTATAGTGTTCAAAAACCACATTAATAGATTGGTTTTATAAATAATGTTTTGTTGTTGCATTTAACTGCCGAAAATGCTGTTATCAAGGTTATTTCCTTAGTAGGTGACATCAGAGATGAGCCTCTGGGAGAAGTCAGAGCTCAGGGATGATAGACGAGTTTCCCACTAGTAATTACCAGTTGGATCATGTGGATTTTTCCCAGTCGTATGTGGTAATTGCCACCTTCCCACTTTTTTATGAACGCAGGGTAGTCCCCTCCCTCCTCCAGGTGATCAGCCTAAGCCCCTCCCTCCTCCAGGAGTTCAGCCTAAGCCCCTCCCTCCCTCCCGGTAGCTCACCGGTAGCTGTCCTGTGTTGGGGCTGTCGGGACGCAGAGTGGATCCTCCCTCCTCATTGGCTGACGTGGTGCCCTTCTTAGTGGACTGCATCTTGGCCTGCTGGGCCTTGGTGGCTGACTGGAGCAGCTGGAGAGGAGAGACATGTACAGGTAGAGTTAGTTAGGAGGTAGTCTGGGACCCTTTAGAAAAATGGATAAGCCCTTCATAACCCATTAGAACACTTGACCAAACACGGCAAAGCTAGTGAAAAGACTATGAGTTATTGTAATTTGCAACATTGTGAAATGTTTCTCTAAGGGGGTTTAATGCTCCATCCTCAATGACATTTTATAAACCTATGACCAATCATAACCCCTTATAACCCTTCATAACTAGTTATAACCCCATACCTTGGTGATGGTGCCCACAGCCTTGGTGCGTCCCTCTCTGAACACCAGTCTCTGGTCTGTGTGGAGGTACTCAGGGGTCTTGATGAATCTGAAGTGGACTGAGGCCTTGTCCCCGGTACGTAGACAGTCTCTGTTCATGGTCAGAATGGTGGCGGTCTGTCTGATGCTGCCACAGTGCACTGAGGGAGAGAAAGTTCGAAAAACAACGATTTACATACCAGTGGCATAGCGACTGTGGACGTGTCCCATAGCCTCATTTATGTGTGATTGTAGGAGGGACAAAAACCTAATATGAACATGGTTGAAACATTTTGAAATTGAGCATCGACACAGTATACAAGCAACCATGAACACACCCAGACGTTTGAAAGCCGCTCACCCATAGCCTGGTAACGTGGTGATATGGTGGTGGGGTGGTGCAGGACCAGTATCTCAGCCATGAACTCCCAGGTAGCCTGAGGTGTTAGTCTGGGAGAGATCATTACCATCCCCTTCCTGATGGAGGAACGCTTGATCTGGAAGAGAGAGAAGGAGGGAGGGGAAGAGTGGTGAAGGGAAGACAGAGGAAGAGGGAGAGAAATGTTAGGACATAGGCCGCAGCCTGACAGAGATTGTGTCAGAAATGTACTGATTGAGGCAATGTTTTTTCAATGGGAGTCATCCATTGATGGATTACAGTCAACGGAGAGAATACATAAAAATATTTAAAAAACATGTTCATCTTTTTGCATATGCAACTCATTTGAAAATTGCTGACTTGAGTTTAACTTTTGATGCACAAAAACAGACAACTGATGAATGCATGTATGATTTCATTCATGTTAATGTTACTCTGTGCGGTCGTAGCCTTACAATCAGCAGTGTAAAAAAAACACACCTTTTTGAGCGCGAAGGAGGCGGTCTGTCCCCCCCGGACCTCTTTGACAGGCATCCTCTTGCGGTGGATAGATTTGACAGCGATGGAGAGGAAACTGCCCAGGGGGTCTGGGCCGAGCAGCAGCGTGTCATTCAGTCGTATCAATCCACGTAACGTAGTACCTGACACTACCGTTCCCACACCCTGAGAAGAGGTAGGACACATCAATACAACACAGGTTGTTTTACACTTCATTCAAAACTACAATGATTAGAGTGTGTGTGTGTGTGTTGATGGTTGTGTGTGTTGTGTCTGTGTACTAACCGGTACTGAGTAGGTGTCATCGATCTGGAACTCGGCAGGCTCATCTTCTCTATAGGAGGTTTTAGAAGACAGCAGGTTGAGGAACATCTTCAGAAGGTCCATGTTCTCTCCTGTTACATTGGAGACCTGGAAGATTGGACACATCCTAGGGAGAGACACAGAGAGAAAGGGGAGGAGGAGAGGAGGGGGAACAGAGAGGGGAGGAGGAGAGGAGGGGGAACAGAGAGGGGAGGAGGAGAGGAGGGGGAACAGAGAGGAGGAGGAGAGGAGGGGGAACAGAGAGGGGAGGAGGAGAGGAGGGGGAACAGAGAGGGAGGAGGAGAGAGGGGGGAACAGAGAGGGGAGGAGGAGAGGAGGGAACAGAGAGGAGAGGAGGAAAATAATAGAGGATTAAGGCGACAAACAAAGTTACCCATAAATCAAATCGTATTGGTCACACACACATTTAGCAGATGTTATTGTGGGTGTAGCGAAATGCTTGCGTTACTAGCTCCAACAGTGCAGTAATATCTAACATTTCACAACAATACACACAAATCTCAAAGTAAAAAGGATGGAATTAAGAAATATATTAATATTAGGATGAGCAATGTCGGAGTGGCATTGACTAGAATACAGTATATACACATATGAAGTGGTTAAAACTGTATGTAAACATCAAAGTGACCAGTGATTCCATGTCTACAGTGAGGGAAAAAAGTATTTGATCCCCTGCTGATTTTGTACGTTTGCCCACTGACAAAGAAATTATCAGTCTATCATTTAAATCAGAAAGATTTCTAGCTCCCAGGTGTCTTTTATACTGGTAACGAGCTGAGATTAGGAGCACACTCTTAAAGGGAGTGCTCCTAATCTCAGCTTGTTACCTGTATAAAAGACACCTGTCCACAGAAGCAATCAATCAGATTCCAAACTCTCCACCATGGCCAAGACCAAAGAGCTCTCCAAGGATGTCAGGGACAAGATTGTAGACCTACACAAGGCTGGAATGGGCTACAAGACCATCGCCAAGCAGCTTGGTGAGAAGGTGACATACCTAAAAAGTCGCTTTGGATAAAAGCGTCTGCTAAATTCCATATTATTATTATTATTATTATTATTATTATAATAGTTGGTGCGATTATACGCAAATGATCAAGATCACACCTCGTGGAGTTGCAATGATCATGAAAACGGTGAGGAATCAGCCCAGAACTACACGGGAGGATCTTGTCAATGATCTCAAGGCAGCTAGGACCATAGTCACCAAGAAACCAATTGGTAACACACTACGCCGTGAAGGACTGAAATCCTGCAGCATCCGCAAGGTCCCCCTGCTCAAGAAAGCACATATACAGGGCCGTCTGAAGTTTGCCAATGAACATCTGAATGATTCAGAGGAGAACTGGGTGAAAGTGTTGTGGTCAGAGGAGACCAAAATAGAGCTCTTTGGCTTCAACTCAACTCACCGTGTTTGGAGGAGGAGGAATGCTGCCTATGACCCCAAGAACACCATCCCCACCGTCAAACATGGAGGTGGAAACATTATGCTTTGAGGGTGTTTTTCTGCTAAGGGGACAGGACAACTTCACTGCATCAAAGGGACGATGGACGGGGCCATGTACCGTCAAATCTTGGGTGAGAACCTCCTTCCCTCGGCCAGGGCATTGAAAATGGGTTGTGGATGGGTATTCCAGCATGACAATGACCCAAAACACATGGCCAAGGCAACAAAGGAGTGGCTCAAGAAGACACACATTAAGGTCCTGGAGTGGCCTAGCCAGTCTCCAGACCTTAATCCCATAGAAAATCTGTGGAGGGAGCTGAAGGTTAGAGTTGCCAAACGTCAGGCTCGAAACCTTAATGACTTGGAGAAGATCTGCAAAGAGGAGTGGGACAAAATCCCTCCTGAGATGTGTGCAAACCTGGTGGCCAACTACAAGAAATGTCTGACCTCTGTGATTGCCAACAAGGGTTTTGCCACCAAGTACTAAGTCATGTTTTGCAGAGGGGTCATTTGTAAGTCGCTCTGGATAAGAGCGTCTGCTAAATGACGTAAATGTAAAAGTATTGTGTTGAAGGCTGAGCTGTAGTCAATGAACAGCATTCTTAAATAGGGATTCCTCTTGTCCAGATGGGATAGGGCAGTGTGCAGTGCGATGGCGATTGCATCGTCTGTGGAAATATTGGGACGGTATGCAAATTGAAGTGGGTCTTGGGTGTCAGGTAAGGTGGAGGTGATATGATACTTAACTAGCCTCTCAAAGCACTTCATGATGATAGAAGTGAGTGCTACGGGGCGATAGTCATTTAGTTCAGTTACCTTTGCTTTTTTGGGTACAGGAACAATGTTGGACATCTTGAAGCAAGTGGGGACAGCAGACTGGGATAGGGAGAGATTGAATATGTCGCGGCTAGTGATGCCGTCCGGGCCAGCAGCCTTGCGAGGGTTAACACAATGTCTTACTCACGTTGGCCACAGAGAACGAAAGCCCACAGACCTCGGGAGCGGGCCGCGTCACTGGCACTGTGTTATTCTCAAAGCGGGTGAAGCAGGTGTTCAACTTGTCCGGGAGCAAGATGTCAGTGTACGCGACATGGCTGGTTTTCCCTTTGTAATCCGTGATTGTCTGGAGTCCCTGCCACATACGCCTCGTGTCTGAGCTGTTGAATTGCGACTCCACGGTCTCTGTACTGACGTTTTGCCTGTTTGATTGCCTTACGGAGGGCATAGCTGCACTGTTTGCATTCAAACATATACCCAGTCACCTTGCCATGGTTAAATGCGGTGGTTCGCGCTTTCAGTTTTGCGCAAATGCTGCCATCTATCCAAGGTTTTTAGTTTGGGTAGGTTTTAATAGTCACAGTGGGAACAACATCCCCTATATACTTCCTGATGAACTCAGTCACCATGTCAGTGTATACGTCAATGTTATTCTCAGGAGGCAACCCGGAACATATCCCAGTCGGCGTGATCAAAACAATCTTGAAGCATGGATTCCGATTGGTCAGACCAGCGTTGAATAAACCTTAGCACGGGATACTTCCTGTTTGAGTTTCTGCCTATAGGAAGGGAGGAGCAGAATAGAGTCGTGATCTGATTTGCCGAAGGGAGGGCAGGGGAGGGTCTTGTAGCCATCCCGGAAGGGAGAGTACCAGTGGTTGAGAGTTCTTGACGTGCGAGTACTACAGGCAATGTGTTGATAGAACTTCAACAGCATATTCCTGAAATGTGCTTTGTTAAAGTCCCCAGCTACAATAAATGCGGCCTCAGGATATGTGGTTTCCAGTTTACACAAACTCCAGTGTAGTTCCTTGAGGGCCGTCGTGGTATCGGCTTGAGGGGGAATATACATGGCTGTGACTATAACCAAAGAGAATTCTCTTGGGAGGTAATACGGTCGGCATTTGATTGGGAGGTTATCTAGGTCGGGTGAACAAAAGGACTTGAGTTCCTGTACGTTACCACAATCCCACCATAAGTAGCTTAAATCATGAAACATACACCTTCGCCTTTCTTCTTCCCAGAGAGTTCCTTATTCCTGTCTGCGCGATGTACTGAGATCCCAGCTGGCTGTATGGACGGGGGCTGTATATCCGGAGAGAGCCATGATTCCATGAAACACAGTATGTTACAGTCCCTGATGTCTCTCTGGAAGGAGATCCTCGCCCTGAGCTCATCTACTTTATTGTCCAGGGACTGGATATTAGCGAGTAATATACTCGGAAGCGGTGGATGGTGTGCACACCTCCTGAGACGGACTAGAAGTCCACTCCAAATACCTCTTCTCCACCGGCGGCGTTTTGGAGCAGTCTCTGGGATAAAGGTAAATTGCCTTGGGGGTTACGAACAAAGGATGCAATTTGGGAAAGTCGTATTTCTGGTCGGAATGCTGGTGAGTTACCGCCGCTCTGATATCCAAAAGTTATTTCCCCTGTCTGTAATAACACCCAAAAAAAATCTGGGCCAATAATGTAAGAAATAACACATTAAAAAAAAAAACACTGTAAAGTTGCTAAGGAGCTAGAAGCAGAGCTGCCATGCCTGTCGGCGCCATCTTACACACAAGGTGGTAAACTGCTCAGATGAATCAGGTAAATGACCAAAACCACCACATGGAAACTGTGTTACTTCACTGGTATTTACCTCTCTGAGCTGAAGTTGGATGCAGTGACAATGACATCATCTTTGTTTTGAACCAGTACAGGGATCTTTCTACATCCTGGGGACTTCAGTAACCTCTGTAACAGATGCAGAGTCTCTGGAATACACACACACACACACACACCAGGTATACATGGCAGGGTCATATTCATTAGGCACCAAACGGACTGTAACGGGAGGAACTACCTGGATTTTTACCATTAAAAAACAAATTTCTGTTGAAAAATGTACATTTTCACTATGATTACCATATTTTTATTATTTGAACAGGGCCATGTTCCACAGTCCATCTCTCACCTGCTAGGATGTTGGCTGGACACATGTCTATCTTGGTGACCACTACAAAGACTGGTACGTTCAGGGCTAGAGCCAGACCTAGATGCTCCTTAGTCATCCCTACAATACCTGCATTACTGCCCACCTAGATAGAGAGAGAAGAGAGAGAGAGAGAAGGAGAGCGAGAGCAAGAGAGTGAGGAGGAGAGCGAGAGAGGAGAGAGACGAGAGCGAGAGAAGAGATGATATGTAGGGAGAGAGAGAGCGAGAGTATGTGAGAGAGAGAGAGAAGCGAGGAGACGAGAGAGCGAGAGCGAAGGAGAGCGAGAGAAGGAGAGCAGAAGAGATGAGAGAGAAAAGGATTAGCGAGCAAGAGAGTGAGGAGGAGAGCGAGAGAGAGCGAGAGCCGAGAAGAAGAGATTGATGAGCGAGAAGAGAGAGAGAGAGCGAGAGAGAGAGAGCGAGAGAGAAGGAGAGCGAGAGAAGGAGAGCGAGAGGAGAGAGAGAAAAAGGATTAGCAAAGGACTGACACAGTAAATGTCTGTGGTGATAAGCAACTGACCGTGTGTGAACAAAAACACAAACACACCATCCCCGTCTCTCACCATGAGCATACAGAAGTCTGGTAGGTGTCCGGTCATTCCAAACACAGTGGTTTTGAGGTACTTCTCGTGGCCGGCCAGGTCTATAAAGGTGATGACCTTAGAGGACCTCTCACAGATCTTAGTCCAGTCCAGACTGCCCCCGTGATTGTCTGGCTTATTCACCACCTAGGAGCAGAGACCGAGAGAGGTAGGTTACACGTCATCCCTGTGTAACCTAAATGTCCTTAGTGACTCCTAAGTCAACCCCAAGTCACTGCTAAGTCATCTCTCGCACCTGTCCCTCCTGGTCGAAGCCCAGGATGTCATTCCCCACACTGCTGGTCCTGCCACTTTCCATCTCGTGTTTGTGTCTGAAGAGTTTCTGCCTGGCGAACCCCCTGCCGTTGTCCAGCTCCCCGTGGGTCAACACCCCCAGCAAGGTGCTCTTACCGGCATCCACGTTACCCACCACCGCCACCCTGTATGGGAAGGGGAGAGAGAAGTTAGAGGACAGAGAGCACGGAGAGCTGTTTTGTGCAACACCAAACGTTGCAGCACACTTTGATCCTGAAAGCAAACCCCAACTTCTTCTCCCTCTGAGAAGACCTAATAATAAAGGCTGAGTGACAAATGTACCGCTCTCTCTCTCCCTCCCTCCCCCTCTCTCTCTCCTCTCCCTCTCACCTCACTTCCAGGAAGTCCTCCTCTCCGACCCGTCGGCGGATGAGGTAGTCTCGTACTTTCCCCCCTGCGTCGCTACGTTCTCTCAGCAGGATCAGGTCTGCCTCCATCTGCTCACACAGGGATTGAACCGTGGCCACTGACGCCTCCATGTCCCCCTCGTCCAGACCATAGTCACCTCCGTCTGAGAGAGAAACGGGAGTTGGAGTGTAAGAGAGATAGAGAAGAAGGAAGAAAGAGGGAGAAGTGGGAGAGAGATGGTGGAAGTAAGGAGTGATGGGTGGGGATAGAAAGAGGGAGAGAAAGCCACATACTTGAACCACCCTGCCCATTACTCTGAGAATGCCCATGCTTGTGGCTTTACCCAGACGTAAGGCCCTACTTAAAGTGTACTTGAATGCACTTACAGTTTACATCAGTTAATGTAGCTATAGCAGTTCAAATTTATGTTTGGGCAAATTATAGGAACATTGGAGCAGAAGCTGAGAAGGTGGAGGCTTGTCGTCTTGCTAACTGACCATTAAAAATAGTTAAATCAAGACAAACAAGTTAGTTCAGTCTGAAAAACACTAGCTAGGGATGTAACATTCACCGATAAGCATCGGTCCCCGATTCAAATGTTTAAGATACAAGTGCATCGCTCCGCAGACCCCAAACTGATCCAAATGTAGCATGCATCAGTCAGAAAATCGTTTGTGTTGTTGTTGCTTATAATATATTCTGTCTACCTTCCGAAAAGACCTCTCATATTGTGACAACTGATGCGCCCTCTCCTTCAGTGTTGAACTGCATGTAGGCTAACTCTGTTGACAGTCATTGATCTACAAGTAATTTTGCATGCCAAACAACCCCAGGCAATATCAGTAGCCTAGTCAACCTGCGCACTGTGCCCAGCTTAGGGGGTTGACACTAGCCTGACTGGTTGTGTTTAACCAACTGACAAAAAGCACAACTGATCTGGGACTAGGCTAAGGGTACATCAGGGCTGTGTTCTGTAGGGGGTCACCGTAGCAAAACATTTTGCAACAGAAAAGGGAACTCTGTGCTCTTATTGGAGATGTTTACAAATCAACTCAAATGTTATTTGTCACATACACGTGTTTAGCAGATGTTATTGCGGGTGTAGCGAAATGCTTGTGCTTCTAGCTCTGACATTGCAGTAATATCTAACAAGTAATATCTAACAATTTCACAACATATACCCAATACACACAAATCTAGTAAGGAATGGAATTTAAGAATATATACAGTGAGGGAAAAAAGTATTTGATCCCCTGCTGATTTTGTACGTTTGCCCACTGACAAAGAAATGATCAGTCTATCATTTTAATCGTAGATTTATTTGAACAGTGAGAGACAGAATAACAACAACAAAAATCCAGAAAAATGCATGTAAAAAATGTTGATTGATTTGCATTTTAATGAGGGAAATAAGTATTTGACCCCCTCTCAATCAGAAAGATTTCTGTCTCCCAGGTGTCTTTTATACAGGTAACGAGCTGAGATTAGGAGCACACTCTTAAAGGGAGTGCTCCTAATCTCAGCTTGTTACCTGTATAAAAGACACCTGTCCACAGAAGCAATCTATCAGATTCCAAACTCTCCACCATGGCCAAGACCAAAGAGCTCTCCAAGGATGCCAGGGACAAGATTGTAAACCTACACAAGGCTGGAATGGGCTACAAGACCATCGCCAAGCAGCTTGGTGAGAAGGTGACAACAGTTGGTGCGATTATTCGCAAATGGAAGAAACACAAAATAACTGCAAGATCTCACCTCGTGGAGTTGCAATGATCATGAAAACGGTGAGGAATCAGCCCAGAACTACACGGGAGGATCTTGTCAATGATCTCAAGGCAGCTGGGACCATAGTCACCAAGAAAACAATTGGTAACACACTACGCCGTGAAGGACTGAAATCCTGCAGCGCCCGCAAGGTCCCCCTGCTCAAGAAAGCATATACAGGGCCGTCTGAAGTATGCCAATGAACATCTGAATGATTCAGAGGAGAACTGGGTGAAAGTGTTGTGGTCATATGAGACCAAAATAGAGCTCTTTGGCATCAACTCAACTCGCCGTGTTTGGAGGAGGAGGAATGCTGCCTATGACCCCAAGAACATCGTCCACACCGTTAAACATGGAGGTGGAAACATTATGCTTTGGGGGTGTTTTTCTGCTAAGGGGACAGGACAACTTCACTGCATCAAAGGGATGATGGACGGGGCCATGTACCGTCAAATCTTGGGTGAGAACCTCCTTCCCTCAGCCAGGGCATTGAAAATGGGTTGTGGATGGGTATTCCAGCATGACAATGACCCAAAACACACGGCCAAGGCAACAAAGGAGTGGCTCAAGAAGAAGCACATTAAGGTCCTGGAGTGGCTGAAGGTTTGAGTTGCCAAACGTCAGCCTCGAAACCTTAATGACTTGGAAATCTGCAAAGAGGAGTGGAACAAAATCCCTCCTGAGATGTGTGCAAACCTGGTGGCCAACTACAAGAAACGTCTGACCTCTGTGATTGCCAACAAGGGTTTTGCCACCAAGTACGAAGTCATGTTTTGCAGAGGGGTCAAATACTTATTTTCCTCATTAAAATGCAAATCAATTTATAACATTTTTGACATGCGTATTTCTGGATTTTTTTGTTGTTATTCTGTATCTCATTGTTCAAATAAACCTACCATTAAAATTATAGACTGATCATGTCTTTGTCAGTGGGCAAACGTACAAAATCAGCAGGGATCAAATACTTTTTTCCCTCACTGTACATATGGACAAGCAATGACAGAGCAGCATGGACTAAGATACAGTAGAATATTATAGAATAGAATACAGTATATACATATGAGATGAGTAGTGCAAGATATGTAAACATTATTAAAGTGGCCAGTGATTTCTCAGTCCCAGCTTTGATGCACGTGAGCACCCTATGTTCTGTTGTGTGGTTTAGGTATATGGACAGAAAATAAGGTAGGAAAGTAGGTTGTCCCTTCTCACCTGAGCCCACTCCCACAACATAAATGGTCTCCCCACATCCTTCATCCATCCTCTCTCGGAGTTGCCGTAGTAACGAGTCATACTGTTCTCCTGTGGGGCTGACCAGAGTCAGCTAGGAAAGAGAAACAATATATTTTAGGTTTATTCACTGGTGTTATGGTTGTTCTCAAAATTGACAGAAACTTAAGACAAATGTGTTCACAATAACATATATGATAACTTTTTTCTTACTTTGTAAATTAGATGTAACATTACAGTGGAATTACAGTTTATGTCCAGTAGAGGACAGGGCAGTATAATATTAACAAAACAATGTAAGAACGGCCAGACAGACAGCATGCAAATATTGAAGCAAGCAGCTGGAAGTTAGGCCTGGGTCGTTTGTTGACGTTACAATGGCGTAGCCTAGCTTATGGCAAGCCTGACAAAGTTGTAAAAGTGCACATGCATGATGATTCACTGAAATCATGCAATTATGAATATATTGAAGTTTAATCCAGGCTTTTTTATTTGAAATAAATTACATTGGCAAGATAAATATAGGTTATCTGTTCAAATCATCTTTGGTTGTTTTGCCAACTGTAGTGTCTACACAGAGTGACACATACATACGTGTCATTCATTCATCATTGCATGTTTTGGTGGTTATTGGTCACTTGAAATGATACGTGTCCGGTCATATTTCAACCAAATGAAATGCTATAATAAAATGGTCATTTTCATAAAAATTGCAACACATATATTTGTTAAAGTGGATGTAATATTGAAATCCATGCATGCATATGCCATGTAGCTAGCTTTTGCTGAGTCGAGAGCAGGGCCTACCTTGCTAGTAAAGTCTAAATGATCCTCGGACTCGCCGTTAGCATTCTCGCCGTCTTCGAAGCACTCTCCCCCGGAAAGGTCATCCCCACAGTCCGGTGCGAATATAGAAGCTGGTACTACGGACTCCTCTGTCGGTAATGTCCCCGGGCTTAGCCCTGGCTCTATCGCTGACAACGCCATCTCCCCAAACCTTCAGAAAAACAAGTAATTAAATTGCAAACTGCTAGCATAACATAGCTAAGCTAACGTTAGCTCACAAACCAAGCTTGCTACTGACACCAACATATTATGATGCAATGCATGCAACAATTTCGTACAGCAACTGCGTACGGTTTAAATTAGGCAAAAAACGTCCCTTACTTAGCGATTAACGTTTTACTAGTAATGTTATGTAAACATATAAATTCAACATACCAGAAGTAGTAGTGTTCATACAAGGTTTGCTTCAGTTGCGTATTTGAGTGTGGCCCGCCCCTTTGTTAAATACAGAAACAGGATTGGCTACAGTACTCAATGCTCCACCCCTCCAGTGCTAGGTTCTTGAACGTTGACAGGTGGTCAACACAGAATGGAATTATTTCACAGAAATAGAAAATCAATATATTTTTCTTTTTGACTCTTTCAATGTGTCATACTTACATTTTAGTCATTTAGCAGACGCTCTTATCCCGAGCGACTTACATTTACGTCATTTAGCAGACGCTCTTATTCAGAGCGACTTACAAATTGGTGCATTCACCTTATAGCCAGTGGGATAACCACTTTACAATATGTTATTTTTTTCTTTGGGGTGGGGTAAGGGGGGGTAGAAGGATTACTTTATCCTATCCCAGGTATTCCTTAAAGAGGTGGGGTTTCAAGTGTCTCCGGAAGGTGGTGAATGACTCCGCTGTCCTGGCGGAGTCACTCAGTTAGTGAGTGCATAATTTTTTCATACTGGCCCCCCATGGGAAACGAACCCACAACCCTGGCGTTGCAAGCGCCATGCTCTACCAACTGAGCTACAGGGGACTATATTGTGTGCACGATTATAGAAACGCCTTACAGCAAATATTTGAATAAAATATAAAAAATACTGTATGGTAAGTAATGTGTGTAGTAGCTATATTTACCACTAGATCGCAGTTTCATTTGTCAAAATACAGTGGATGGACACATTTACGTCATTTAGCAGATGCTCTTATCCAGAGCGACTTACAGTTAGTGCATACATTTTTTTTATACTGGCCCCCCGTGGGAATCGAACCCACAACCCTGGCATTGCAAGCGCCATGCTCTACCAACTGAGCTACACGGGACACCTACATTGCCTGTACTAGAAAGGATCAAATGAATCACTAACATTTCCAGTTTTGTTGAGTAAGACTCAGAAACACCCTACTACAGGCTAAAAAGAAAAAGAATGAAATGAGAAAGAATGAAAAAATAAAGAGAAAGAAATCAAATTGGTAGAGCATTGCGCTTGTAACGCCAGGGTAGTGGGTTCGATCCCCGGGACCACCCATACGTAAAAATGTATGCACACATGACTGTAAGTCGCTTTGGATAAAAGCGTCTGCTAAATGGCATATTATTATATTATTAGGGCCCTCCACCCTTTTGAGAAATATGTCCCAAATGGCACCATATTCCCTACATAGTGCACTACTTTTGGCCAGAGCCCAGAGCCCTATGGGCCTGCAGAGAGAAAGAAAGTGTGCACTATATAGGGAATATGGTGCCATTTGGGACATTCTCTGGCAACTCCCTCTAAATATATTTGACTTCCTTCCAGTGGAGGCTGCTGAGGGGAGGATGGCTCATAATAATGGCTGGAATGGTTTCCATGTGGTTGATACCATTCCATTGACTCCATTCCAGCCATTACTATGAGCCGTCCTCCCCTCAGCAGGCTCCACTGCCTCCTTCTATTGCCTGATTGGAAATGTAGGCTAGTGATATTCTTGGCCCTGATTGGTCACCACTTTTACAACTCATTCTCTAATTGGTTAGTACGCATTTCTAAACCCTGCCCTTTCTACAATACCAGACTGTACAATGCAAACTGTCTCACTTTTCAGGCTTTTTCTGCAGAGATTTCAGATAGAAGACTGCCAAGATGGTACGTATGACTGTAATTCATTCAGAACTATTCTTTTATCAACTTTCTCTGCTATCAAACTATCTACACACTATATCATGTCAAATCCATTGTTTAAACACCTCCCTTTAAAGGGCAAGTCAATCCAAGGTAATGGGACAGGGAGTTAGCTGGTAAGTTTGCGTGTAGCTCCTGAAACTGATGTTTTCCTTTGATACTGTGTTATCATGTTTATTACTATTACAGTACACAGAACCTTGGGACAACTGGCATTTAATATGAGTCTGTGATTAAAATACTTTCATTGCCAATATTATTTATTCTACTACAGTGACAGTCCATAAAATCAATATATGGTTCATTGTGGTCTTTTGTAATAGTGTTCCTTATCTTTATGTACTTTGAATTATTGTGAGTGGTTAAAGTCTGGTGATTAGTTCGATTCAGGGTTGTAAAAAGTGAGAGGATGACGCATGAATATTCTACAGTCTTCAGATCAGGGCTCTCCAACCCTGTTCCTGAAGAGCTACCCTCCTGTAGGTTTCCGCTCCAACCCCAGTTGTAACGAACCTGATCCAGTTTATCAACCAGCTAATTATTAGAATCAGGTGCGCTAGATTAGGGTTGTAGCAAAAACCTACAGGACGGTAGCTCTTCAGGAACAGAGTTGGAGTTAAAACCTACAGGACGGTAGCTCTTCAGGAACAGAGTTGGAGGGCCCTGCTTTAGATTGTAGAATACCCAATAGTTCTGCAGGCTAAAAATATTGTGTCAGAATATAAATGTGGCTAACTTTGTTGCTTTGAACCACAAGAAGTGTGTAACGTCAATGGATTCTATCCGCAACGAATTACAGAGTTTTTGAGAATTCACTCGACTCCACCTGTTTGATGATTAACTAATAATTGATCTGAGATACAGAGACAGGTGGTGCAGTGTTCTAAGGTGTGGCCCAGGTATAGGGTCTAACTACTATATCTTCTACGTGACTAATACCATGTGATACCAGGGACATTGACCCACTGATACAGAGGACACAATGCCTATCATTGACTAGATCTAACCAATGTTGTTTGAAGAGAGGTATTATGTGAATCTCTATAGCATCATTGATGATGCAGTGTCACACACACACCACAGATTGTGGTACAGACAGAGCGTTGTGGTAGGGTCTTACCCCATCTTTGAATCACTAGTTTCATCCTCTATTTGTCCAACAGACTGAGTCTCAGTGTTGTAAACCCTTTATGACTTTACTGTCTCCTTGTGACCACTTTGTGACAATCTCAACGGTCAAACAGCATTCAAACAACGTTTAGTTCCTGTTTTCCTGCTTTTAAGACCCTGTGTTCGGTATTTTATGACTGATCCCAGATCTGATTGTGCAAACATGGCGTGACAATGATCATAGGAGTCGTCTAGTACAAACAGATCTGGGAGCCAGATATGGTTTTATTACCTGTGGGTGTTTCACTCACTACCCCAATAAGGTTGATCATTAACACTGAACAAGATAAGCGCAGAACCTAAGGTCAGGTTAATTGTTACATGTGCACCACAGACGTGCTGATACGAATCTGTAAAGCACAGGTGGCTAGTGGCACCTTAATTGGGGAGGATGGGCTCATGGTAATGACTGGAACTGAATTAATGGAGTAGTATGGAACTCATCATGGTTTTCCACGTGTTTGATACCATTCCATTCACTCCATTCCAGCCATTATTATGAGATGTCCTCCCCTCAGCAGCCTGCTGTGCTGTGAAGTTTATGCACTAGTACATGCCACAGTTATGGATAACAAAGTTGACAGAAACACAAAGTTCATACAGATGTCATTGACACTTAAGGATGATAAACTAAAGGGTCATGTCAACTGGGCCTAGATGAACATTATCCCTGTTATGGGAACCAGATTCTGCAGACCAATGGGATTCTTATTTTCACCACTTCTCATTTACTCTTAGTCTTTGCCATTTGTACTGTTTATTTGGCAAGGTAACTGTTTTCTGGGGTTTTTTTATGAGCTCAGTGCAGTAAGAAGCTTATTACTGTGTATTTATCCTGTTTGTTAACTCCTTAGTTGTCTAATTTCTCCTATCTCCTTCCTAGGCGTTCCGTGTGGAGAACATGTCCTTCAAGCAGGGCCAGGAGATGACGTTCACAGGGAAGACCAAGTCTGGAGCCACTAAGTAAGATCATGACATTTCACCTTTCAACCCAAACACAACACAGTGTTCCCCCTAGCATTACTCCTAGAGACTCTCCTAGTGCCTCACCCACTGCTCACTCCCAAGATGTAGCAGAATCCTGACACTTGGTTTCAATTGAATGTATTTGTGCTTGTAGCCCTGATTGTACTTTTGGGGTATTTCGCAGCCCACCAACAAAAAGCATATATGAGAAACACTGCAAACAGTGCACGTACAGTACATGAAAGTCACTATTGGTTTCAACTATTGGTTTCAAGTTTCAGTATTTGTAGCCCTGGATGTCACATTGGGGGCCTTTGCAGCCCACAATATAAATTACATACAAGTAGGTTGTCATGGTTATAGACATGGTTGCATTTCAATTTGGCCAAACAAAAACAAACCACGAGCATGGAGAACTTATTGTGTTAACATTTTTCGCCTGAATTATCATATCCAATTTCCTGTTTCAAGTTTCATTTTATCTTCCACCCCTCCCCATCTCTCTCTCTCTCCCCCCTCCTCCATCTCCACCCCTCATAGGTTCTCCATCAACATCGGCCACGACAGTGACAACTTTGCCCTCCACTTCAACCCTCGTTTTGACAACGGACAGATCGTGTGTAACTCTCTGTCTGGAGGAAGCTGGGGAGACGAACAGAAGGATGGCCACTTCCCCTTCCAGGATGGAGAGCAGTTCAAGGTGTGTGTCACCAGTTTAACATTTGATCATAGGGCAGTCTGGGCACACAGTCTGTTGACTCTAACTGTAAAATATAATATTTAACAGTTAGAGAGTCAACAGTCAGGCTACACTGGTGATTATAACTGCATCTATCATATAAGTACATCTGATAGAGGAGATACGTTTTAGTAATCTCAATGGCTCATAGATTTGGCTCACTAGGAAGCCAGTGTAAACCCGCCTAACTGTTGGATTTAATCATTACAAATTATCATTAACCAGGAACCATTTCAAATAAAGTCTACAGAAATGAAGCAGTAGATCATTACAATTTGCCTCAAAGATTCTACCCTCCCATGCCTGACTGCTGCAGACTGCAAGACACATTGATGGTAAATGAGATTCTAAACATTTCTCTCTCTCTCTCTCTCTCTCTCTCTCTCTCGCTCTCGCTCTCGCTCTCGCTCTCTCTCTCTCTCTCTCTCTCCTCTCTTCTCTGTCTCTCATCCCTCCGTCCAGCTGGTCCTCAACTTCACCAACGAGCAGTTCTACATCAAGCTGCCAGACGGTCACATGATGGACTTCCCCAATCGCCTTGGCGACTGCAAGTACAACCACATCATGGTTGACGGAGATGTCAAGGTCATCAGCCTCAAGGTCAAATAGAGGTTGAGCTTTAACCTCTGACCGTTGTCTAAATCCTTTGAAACAATACCTGTGAATTTATTTATACCAACTCAGAGCTCTTATTGTGTACGTTGTGTATTGAGAGGAAACACCCTCTAGGTTGCGCCACTGCCAAATGCACCTCTACCTGAAACCTGTGGAGAGACCACTCCAGATATGTTAATAAAACCACCACTGTGAAAGCAAACAATGTTTTCAATATCTTTATGTGGCTTTTGTATCATCTTTGAATGGTTTTGGTGTGTCCTTAATGAGACCGACTCTCTATTTCCTTACACACTAGTGTTGGAGATAGAGACACAAGCATTTGGATGCACCTGTGATAACATCTGCAAATCTGTGACCAATAAACTTTGATTTGATTTAGTGTATTCTCTTTTTCTCTTTCCATCTCTCCCCCATACTCCTATAGCAGTCTGTCATGACATCATCAGAGCAAGACACATGACTGTTTATTAGACTGTAGCCTGGGTGTTAACCCTCTTCTACACACAAACACACATACACTTGTGTAGCCTGGGTGTTAACCATGGTCTCCCACCATCACATAGTCAACTGTGAACTCACTAGATCAGTGACTCACTTATACAGTCTATTGTCACTGACCTGCCTCCTGTCTGTCTGCCTGCCTGTCTGTCTGTCTCCTGCCTGCCTACTGCCTGTCTGTCTATTTGCCTGTCTCCTGCCTGCCTACTGCTTGTCTCCTGTCTGTCTGCCTGCCTCCTGCCTCTCTGTCTGCCTGCCTGCCTCCTGCCTGTTTGTCTGTCTGTCTGTCTCTCTGGGGGAACTGGAACATCAGTGGACTGAACTCACACTTGGCCTTCTAGGAATTGTAGTAGCTTTTTAGTAGTACTAGTGGTTGATACCAATTCAATGCTAACTCTGTCTCAGTCTTTACGACAGACGCTAATCAGTGCTGAGTCAGGACTAAGGCTGAGCAGCAAGATCTCAAGGGCGCCAGGCAGCCTAGCGGTTAGGGTGTTGGGCCAGTAACTGAAAAGTTGCTAGTTCAAATCCCAGAGCTGACAAGGTGAAACATCTGTTGATGTGCCCTTGAGCAAGGCACTTAACCCTAATTGCTCCAGGGTTGCCGTTGATAATTGGCTGTGACCCCACTCTTTGGGTGCACACGTGCAATAGGACAAATATCATTCAGTCAACAGCAGACCAGCAGATATTGATTGACACAAACTTCATAAACTGGGCTCAAGTAACTAACTTGAAGTTAAAGTAATTAACTAAAGAACTGTCAGTTGAAGGACAATTAACATCATCAATCATCTCAAGTTATTCAGGTCAAATGGTTGATATAATCCATATCCAAGCGGGCCAGTCTGTGGTGTGGTCCTGTAAGTCTATTTTGGCAGGATGAATAACGATAGACATTCCTGAGAGACAATTTACAGGACAACACGAAGAGACCTGCCTCAAGGCTGTGAAATGTTGCATGGTGGGACCACATTCCCTGGCGAGAGGCAGCGGTCTGGAGAGTGTGAGGGTAGGTGTAAGAGTGTGTGTGTTGGGGGGGAGGTAGGGGTAGGTGTGTGTGTGTGTGGGTCAGCGGGGTCCATCATAGACACATAGAATGAGGAAACTAGCCACCAATGAGACACACACAGTGCATACTTTACAATTGAGTACCACACATTTTACTGCATGTGAAAGTTACTTTACTTACTTTAAAACTTTTGCCAGCAGAGGGCAATATTGTAGTCATTTTACCTCAAAATCAATCAGTCAAAACTTTAGTTGAATTATCCTGTAATAAAGGAATACAAGATGAGAAAATCAACCAAGAAAATTATCTTGGCACTTTTTTGGCAATATGACAATAAAGTAAAAGTAAAAGTAAAAAAAATGAATAGTGACTTGTTAAATGACATTCTTGTCAATATGTGACAAGAAATACAGCAGACTACATGATGAATGCAAATTAGAATCCCCTGGCAAAATATATGTCAAATAGCTATAGCTACAGATGTAGGGTCTTAATTTGATCACCCTGTTGCAGGACAACTTTGCTGCAATATGGGATATTAAAAACGTATAGGTTTGAGGTTTAAAAAGGCTTTGAGGTTTAAAAAGGTTGGTGAAGTTTGACATTTCCACTTTACCTGATATCCCTTTACGAAAAATTTATCAATCCCTACAAAAATGTCCATTAATTATAATCCACATAATAATTATAATTTCCTGTTGCTGGAGGATTATTTTCCTGATGTAGCAAACTGGCTCACATTAATATCCTACATCTGTATAACTATATACCAATAATATTCAGATTATGTCAAAATACAAAAACTACTGTGAGTTTAGAGTAAGCCATGTTGATAGGTCAACTTACGCCGCACTGATTACTCAAAAACCTATTTGTTTGTATGGAGGCCGCTCTTGCCCCAAAATTTAAAAAATGCCATATCAGAAATGCTTTGGCGATAGTGCTTTTGGTGTCACGTCAAATTAACTTCCAGTCTTTTATAGTTCCTGCATGGATGACCTATCCTCCCCAGGAGAAAAAGGATTTAAGTAAAGTATAATAGTTCCTGCTTGTGTCACGTCAAAATACTTCACCTCTACTCTGATTATAGCTCCTGTAGGGGTGTTCCGGCTGCCGACCCCAGGTCTCCCCTACTTGACCCTGTGCTCTGACCCTTCTGAGCCAGATAGTCCTTATAGTTCCGGGTCAGGAGGGTGTACAACAAAGGGTTAATACAGCTATTCCCATAGGTCAGACACGTTACAAAGAAATTCATGTAACTGTGAGTGGCAGGAGACAGAGCCCTGAGGGACTGCGGGGAAAATAATTGCGCCAACTGCCACCCCCAGAAAGGCAGGAAACACACCCAGTACGCCACGACGATACTAAAAATCATCTTTACTACCTTTTGTTTTAAGCCTCGTCTTCTCGCTGAACGGCTGCTTCCTCCCAAGCTAGCCTGAGCAGTCCAATATTGACGTGCTAGGCCAGCGTAGAGACCAACAATGACTAACCCGGGTACGAGGACGCTGGTCAGGAACAGGACGGTGAGGTAGGCCTTGAAGGCCTCTTGGGTCCACGTTGGGTAACAGATCCGCTTGACGTTCCCGGCCGCGTTTGGCTTCCCTTCCCTCAGCCGTATCATAATCATCATTGGTAGTGTCAGGACAAACGCCACGAACCAGATGACGGCGGCCACTACCTTCCGTCCCCGCGTGCTGGATAATCGGGCGACAAACGGCTTCGCCACGGCCCGGTAGCGCTCCAACGACATGGCGACCAGGACGAAGACGCTGGCGTGCATCGTGAGGAGATCAAGACTCAGGAGGATCCGGCAACCGGCCTCGCCGAACAACCAATCGTGAGCAAAGTAGGTGCAGATGACGAATGGGATCGTAGAGAGGTAGAGGAGGTCGGCGAGGGCAAGGTTGAGTATGTAGATGTACATAGAGCCGGACCGGCGGAGTGCTGCGGAACGCATGATGAAGAGGGTGTAGATGTTACCTGCCACCCCCAAGGCGAGCATGATTAGGAGGGTAGCGCCGAGGAGAGAGGTCACCCACAAACCCCCACCACCACCTCCGGAGCTACCCCCTCCAGAGCTACTGCCGGAGCCCCCGGAAACATGCCCTGACTGGGGGGAGATGGAGGTCACGATGGGCGTCTGGCTCTGGTTCATCCTTCGGGATAGGTTTGAGTTCATAAATAAGGCCAGCACTTCCCTACAATGAAGTGATAGCTTTACTGGGATAAACTGTTGTTATTATTATTAGTATTCAAATTGATTTGAAAGAGTTGCTTATGGGATTCCAAACTGAATTTAAAAAAGTGTTCAATGTTGGAGTGAATAGAGAATAATTGCAAGTCAAAGTGACTTTCCGCATTGCATAAGATTCAGTGAAAAACAGACAAAACAAGACAAAAACCACAATTGTACTGCATTGTTGAGGGAGCTAGCATGTAAGCATTTCACTGCACCTTTTAAACCTGCTGCAAACTGTGTACGTGACAGATTTTTTTAAACTTCAAAACACATAAATCGTCTTTGGCCTTCTGTGACTTATCTAAATTGAATCTAAATCCAATAGGAAAACAGGCAACAGAAAGTGTAGAGAAGCTTCAACTGTGGCTTCAGTTCCACTACTACTGTTAATCCCCAGGGTAGTCTTAAAGTGACCCAGCACATGGCTGACAAGTCCACCTCATCGAGTGTCTCTTATCTCCCTCAGTTTTCACATCCCCGCACCAGCTCCTCCACACTCCCATCATCCTTCCCTTCCCGTGGGCGCCGAATGAAAACGAGGCGATACTGTAGATAGACGCTTCAGTCTCTTGAGGAGTTGAACTGCACCGGTGACTTGGGAGTGGAAGTAGCTTGATGTCCTGAGTTGACAGTGTGTTGTCATTGGTAAGTTTGTGGTTGATTCAGATCCTCTCAGACTGTATCCAGAGGTTAGTTTGTCTTGTGTTCTCAGCTTGCATGGTGGATGGTCATTTTTGGTACCTCTCAATATAGGTCAATGTTGGGTGTTCCAATAAAGGAACTGGGGTCCCCTTCTATTGTTTAATTCCACAGCTCTTCAGAAGAGTTTTGTTGTGTCTGTCTTCTTTGGTGTCCTTCAACTACACTCCTTTACTCTCGTTCCCTCTCTCTATCCTCTGTCCCCTTTCCCTCTTTGTCCCTTTTCCCTCTCCTGCTCTCTCTCTCTCTCTCTCTCTCTCTCTCTCTCTCTCTCTCTCTCACGTATACGTGTAACCAGCATGACTATGGATTTACGAGCGATTCACCTCAGCCCTGGCCCCGCTCTCTTTAAACACCTGGGTGCAGTTTTAAACACCCCTGGTTCGCTGGCACTAAAATGTTCACACACACACACACAAAACGCAAGTCTCACACACACACACACACACACACACACAAACAAACAAATGCAGGTAGGCACATATGATGCACGAGGACACATACACCCTAGCATACATGAACACACACACACTGACATAT